AATTGGGCGCAAGGTTTCCATGTGTTACTCGGGAGATCTGCCGCATTTAAGAGAAGAGAAAAAAAAAACCTAGTGCAGTGGTGGCAAACCTAGGACAGGGCTTTTCAACCAGTGGGACGGGTACCACCTGTGGTCCATTGGCACCTGGCAGGTGGTACGCGACCATCCTAGAAAAGGGGTAGCAGGGGAGGGGAATGAGCTGAACCGGTGGCAGCACCGCACAAGCCTGAGCGAGAGACGGCTGGAGCTGCAGGGCTGTCAGGGCTCAGCGGAAGCGCCAGGATCAGTGCCGCTTTCCAGCTGATCGGCGCTTCTTCGGGGCTGTCAGGGCTCAGCGGAAGCGCCAGGATCAGTGCCAGGCTCCAGCTGGAGCTCGGCACTGATCCTGGTGCTTCCGCTGAGCCCAGAAGAAGCACCGATCAGCTGGAAAGCAGCACTGATCCTGGTGCTTCTGCTGAGCCCTGAAGAAGCGCCGATCAGCTGGAATGTTGCAGCATCTCCAGGGTCTTGTGATTTACATTCAGAGGCTTGGCAACTGATTCCTATTTATGACGGTCACAGTGTCCCAGGGTCATGTGAAGTGGCCAAAACCTGCTGCAACCACCCAGCAGACAGGGGGAATAAAAACCAAACACCCCCCACCCCACCCCCGCTGCCAATCCTCAACAGAAATGCTCACAAGAATGAAAACCTCAGACAGGAGGAAGAGCGCCGCCGGGTGGGCAGGCAGGTGTCTTGCTCGGCTGTGCCTTGGGGGGGCCTTTTTTCAGTGCCATTGTAACTTCGAACAGTCACTAAGCGAACTGTTGTAAGTCGAGGACTACCTATACTTTTATCATTTTTTTCCTTTTGTTTTTTTGGTCATCAAGTTTTGGACACCTTGCTAGGCGACTGGTGGTCCTCGGATGTTGCCATATCCTAAAAGTGGTACAATGGGTGAAAAGGTTGAAAAGCCCTGACCTATGGCACGCACTGTCATGTGTCTGATTAACAAAACACTTAAAAGGACTTTCAGGCATATTTTTATCCTAAAAGCATTTATTAAGGTTACAGAGACGTCAGTACGGCATGGTGGAAATGCTTAGATCTGGATTCTTTTCCGTTGCACATACATTCCAAGCATTTTTCCCCGCCCCTATTTTGGGGTCATGGTTCACGTCTTCCAATTAACTCGGAAGATGCGATTTACTTCCAGGTTTCTTTTTCCAGGGCTTTCCTTATTCTCCTCCCCTTTCCCTGTTGCCTGATTTAACTCTAAAAATACCAGACAGTTCTGCATATTGTCAAAGCAAGAATATACAGTATTTGCAGCGTTGACACGCACGCTGTCGTCCCAGTCCTAGGCCTTCAGCTGGGTTTTATAAAACCTTTTCGCTTTAGGCCTCCGCCGTCGTGTGCAAAAAAAAAAAAGGTTCAATCAGTCAATTTCAACTTCTCATGGGGAAAAAAAAAGATCTTGCAAAGTTGGAATTGATTGATTGAACTTTTTAGTCCCACCCAGTCTGCCAGTACCACCGCAGCCACGCCCACCCAATGGGCCACACCCACCCGGAACCCGACGATGCATAAGTGGGTTTTGGGTTGCAGTTTGGGCACTCGGTCTCTAAAAGGTTCGCCATCACTGGCCTAGTGGTTTGAAGGAACGGCCCCAGCCGGTCCTCTCAGGACAGCGCTAACTCCGTAGGGTTAATCAAAAGAATTAAAATTAATTAATTTTTACTGAAAGTTGTTGCAGGAAAGTCAGGTGGAATCTTAACCGTCCGCCACGCAAAACAAAAAGCCATGCTTCCCGTTCCGGACAACCGGGCAGCTCATGCATTGCCGCAAAGATGTTTTGAGAATGCTGAGGTGCTGGGCAGATAGCAAGTCCTCCTGAAGAGGCAGCAACCTTGGAGTCAGGCTGGAACCGTCCATCTCATCTCCGGAGACGATTCCCCTCCCTAATTCCCACACGTTTATAGGAAAAGCGAAAGCGTGCAAAGAACGCTCCCCCCCAGAGCTTCCTCTTCCCCCCACCCCCCAACAGAACGGGCACATTTCGTGTTTTGAGCCCGGCAACGCACAGCAATCCTCGACTTACGATCACAATTGGGACTGGACATTTCCGTCGCTAAGCAAGTTGGTTTTTATAAGTGAACCGAGAAGGATTTTACCACCTCTTCGCCCCGGTTGTTCGACGTGTCGTAAATCTGCCAGCCGGCCTCCAGATGCTTTAAGGAGCCTAAATTTCCACTTTGGGTATTCAGATACGCCCTGCTTGCTCATGGAGGCTCTACTGGGTCTCATAGCCGACAGTTATTCAACCAAGTGTTTTCAGTCTTCAGATGTGCTGGAATTTCTAGGATTGCATAATTATACAGGCTGGCTGGAATGTAACAGCACTGAAAAAACAGTGACTTATGACTGGTCCTCACACTTACGACTGCTGCAGCCTCTCCAGAGTCACGTGATCACAATTTGGGCGCTTGGCACGTATTTACAACAGTTGCAGCACCCTGGGGGTGCATAATCTCCATTTGCGACCTTCCCATCAGCTTCTGACAAACAAAGTCAGTGGGGGAAGCTAGATTCACTTAATGACTGACTGCTTTACTTAACAACTGCCGCAATTCGCTTAATGACAGGGACCACAAAGGTCGTAAAACTGGGTGAGACTCCCTGAGAAACTGTCTTGTCTAGCAAAGGAAATTTCGGTCCCAGGTGTAGTTGTAAGGTGTAAACCTGTTTCGTTAATCTATTGCTTAATGACTGTGTGGGGTTCGCTTAACGACCGCTGAAACCAAGGTGGTAGAACCAAGCATGGTGACATGGTGACCTGCTTAATGACTGCCACAACTTACAACTTATAACTCCAAGCTCAATGACAGTCCTAACTCGAGGTCTACTTTAATGCAGCCAAATGCTTGTTACACCTGATACCAACAGATACAGTCATGTACCCCTTTGTTGTATGATGTGTTTCATTTTTGGAACATCAGGAAAGGATCATCCCCAAAGAAGGAACTATTTGGGCAAAAAAGACCCCAGGTAGTTTTCATCTGAGAGCCAATTTGATCTTTTCAAGGCCTTGGTAAAGCCACACTTGGAATACTGCATCCAGTTTTGGTCACCACGATGTAAAAAAGATGTTGAGACTCTGGAAAGAGTACAGAGAAGAGCAACAAAGATGATCAGGGGACTGGAGGCTAAAACATATGAGGAACAGTTGCTGGAATTGGGTAGGTCTAGTTTAACGAAGAGAAGGACGAGGGGGGACAGGATACCAGCCTTCCAGTATCTCAGGGGCTGCCCCAAAGAAGAGGGAGTCAAGCTATTGTCCAAAGCTCCTGAAGGCAGGACAAGAGCAACGGATGGAAACTAATCAAGGAGAGAAGCAACCTGGAACTAAGGAGAAACTTCCTGACAGTGAGAACAATTAGCCAGTGGAACAACCTGCCTCCAGAAGCTGTGAATGCTCCAACACTGGAGGTTTTTAAGAAGAGACTGGACGGCCATTTGTCTCAGATGGTATAGGTTCTCCTGCTTGAGCAGGGGACTGGACTAGAAGACTCCTATTCTATTCTATTCTATTCTATTCTTTGTAATTCTGTTCTGTTCTATTCCATATTTTTTAATTCTATTCTATTCTATTCTATTCTATTCTATTCTATTCTATTCTATTCTATTCTATTCTATTCTATTCTGCACCCTTTATTCTTTATTCTATTCTTTATTCTATATTCTATTCTGTTCTATTCTATGTTCTATTCTACTCTATGTTCTATTCTATTCTATATTCTATTCTTTATTCTATATTCTATTCTATGTTCTATTCTACTCTATGTTCAATTCTACTCTATTCTATTCTGCATCCTATATTCTTTATTCTATTCTTTATTCTATATTCTATATTCTATTCTGTATTCTGTATTCTATATACTATTCTACTGTTCTATGTTCTACTCTACTCTACTCTACTCTATTCTTGATGCCCATCAAATGTGTGTGTGTCCAATCACACTTGGCCAATAAAGAATTCTACAATAAAGAATTCTAGAATTCCCAATTCTACTGTGTGGTGATGATGCCACCTGGCACCCCGAACGTGGACAACTGGTTCCTATCCGTCCTCTTGACTCAAACAGGATCTTCCTTGAGAAGAGAGGAGGATTAGCCAAAGGAGAGGATTCCATCATCCACAACCCCCCATCCCTCCCCAGGAGGAAAAACTTGTCTCATTTTCAGAAAGGGCTGGCAATTCTCCAGCAGGAAGGAGACATGCCACAAGCTGCGTGCTGGAGAAAAATAAGGGCACAAAGCTGGCTGAGGAATTCTGGGAGTTGAAGTCCACCAGTCTTAAAGTGGCCAAGGCTGAGGACCCCTGCGTTAAATGGCACCAAATCAAACACGGAAGAAATCCTTAAAACCTACTTTTTGCGAAGATTAATATATTTATTCCGGGCCTTCCCATCCCACCCTATTTATGAACTCCAGCAGCCTCCCCAACCACAAATCCCATCATCTTCTAAGGCGCCGAAAGCCGGGCTACCCAGCCCGGCTGGAGGGAACCTGCTCCAAGATGAGAGACCCCCCTCTCCACATCCTAAAGGTTCTTCACACGATACACAACCTCACAAATCTTGCAAGAGGCGTGCGGAGGGCTGTTGGCAAGCCTTCTCGAGCCCAGCGGCTGAGTCCGTTGCCCTCTTGCTGACGGACGCACGTCTCAGACAAAGCGGGAAGCTCCCCTTTGTGCACCGTCCTTGCCAGCAGGTTGGAAGAAAAGAGACAATTGCAGGAAGACGCCGCACTTGTGAATGCATCCTCAGATGGACGGAGCACGGCCTCCCGCTTCTCCAGGCTGTTTGTCCAGCCAGGTAGCTCGTCTTCCGCCTTCCTTGGGGCCGCTGCTGCAGAAAGTGCCACCTTGGCTGGCGTTGGTTCGGGGAAACAGGCTCCGGCCGAGCGACACCCCGGACCGGGTGCAGGAGCTGGGATCCTAGGCGCTCGCCGGTCACCGTTCAGTCCTGGGCTGCTCCTCGGGGTCTTGAGGCTGCGGAGAATCCTCCCCCGGCACCCTGGGCTGCCAAGGCCAAGGCCGGGGATGAGGAGCTGCCTCGGAGCGTGGTTCGGCAGAGGGGGGCGCCCTTCAAGGTCAGGGAGGAGGCCGAGGAGATCTGGGACGGGGGAGAAGAGAGGTGGAAGCGGTCAATCACCAGGAGACGGGAGTTCTAGTCCCACCTTAGGCAGGAAAGCCAGCTGGGTGACTTTGGGCCAATCACCAGGAGACGGTGAGTTCTAGTTCCGCCTTAGGCATAAAAGACAGCTGGGTGACTTTGGGCCAATCACCAGGAGGCGGTGTGAGTTCTAGTCCTGCCTTAGGCAGAAAAGCCAGTTGGGTGACTTTGGGCCAATCACCAGGAGATGCTGAGTTCTAGTCCCATGTTAAGCATGAGAGGTGACTGGGTGACTTTGGGCCAATCCCCAGGAGACGGTGAGTTCTAGTCCCGCCTTAGGCATGAAAGCCAGCTGGGTGACTTTGGGCCAATCACCAGGAGACGGTGAGTTCTAGTCCCACCTTAGGCAGGAAAGCCAGCTGGGTGACTTTGGGCCAATCACCAGGAGACGGTGAGTTCTAGTCCCGCCTTAGGCATGAAAGCCAGCTGGGTGACTTTGGGCCAATCACCAGGAGGCGGTGAGTTCTAGTCCCACCTTAGGCAGGAAAGCCAGCTGGGTGACTTTGGGCCAATCACCAGGAGGCGGTGAGTTCTAGTCCTTAGGCATGAAAGGTCCATAAGAGGACTTTTCAGGATTCGATTCAGGATATGGAAATTGCATCTTTACAACAGGGGTCCCCAATCTGTGGGCCGCAGCCCGCTACTGGTCCGTGGCCTATTGGGTACCAGGCCACGGGAATGGCTGGTGAGTGCACACATGTGTGCATGCACCCTCCCTACTCGCACTAGTGCCGCCACACTGGTGCTAGTGGCCCTGTTTGTGCATGTGTGGAGGCACTAGCGCAGGAGTAGGCAACCTTGGTCCCTTCCTGACTGGTGGACTTCAACTCCCAGAATTCCTGAGCCAGCCTGGCTCAGCTTGGAAACCTCTCCCTTTCCCCTCAGCGTGGCTGGCTCAGGAATTCTGGGAGTTGAAGTCCACCAGTCATAAAAGAGCCAAGGTTGCCTAACCCTGCACTAGCGTCACCACCAGTGTCACGCAGGCACTAGCAGTGGGTGCTAGTGGCCTGTTTGTGCATGCGTGCGGGCACCAGCACCACTATGAGTGCGTGCAGCCATCCGTGCGCAGGCCCGTTTTGCACACATACGCGTGCTGCACACATGCACACATGTGCGTCCTTTCCCCTGCTCCTCCCTTTCCCTCCGGACCAGCAACCCGGAAAAGTTGGGGCGCTCTGCTCTACAAGCAAGAAAAGTCCAGAATGCAGATAAAACTTCCAAAAATCTTTGGAGGGCTGTTCCGGGGAACTGTCCTCCACAGGGCTTACCTCCACCAGGACGTAATCTCCCGGCTGCGCTCGGACGGCCGATGCCGCCGCGGTCCTGTCGCTCATCTCCACGTCCGGGAAGATGACTTTGGCTCCGCCGTCGTTCCTACCCCACAGCTCCAGAGGGGAGCGCTTGCTGGGCTAGAAGGGCCAAGAGAGGGTGGGGGGAAGGGAGGTCAGGAGTGCTCTGGGGCACTCAGTGCCTCTCGTCCCGCCGCTCCCGGGGCACCACTTGGGACAAGTGGAAAGCAACGGACACGTTGGAGCTGGGCACGGTTTTCGGAAGAATGAATCCGAAACTGGGCAGTGCCAAACCTCCCTGGCAAAATCCAAGTCAGATTGTGCAACTGGAAGCCTTGTGTGGCTGAGTCCTACCTGGAGATCTGGCTGTCTGGCTGTCTCCTTCACTCTCTATCACTCTATCCCTTTCACTCATTCTATCATTCTATCATCTATCACTCTATCACTATCATCTAGCTAGCTGGCTATATCACTCTATCATCTATCACACTATCACTCTATTTGTATCATCTATTTATCTATCACTATCATTCCATCAACTATCACACTATCATTCTCTCTCTCTCTCTCTCTCTCTCTCTCTCTCTCTATCTATCTATCTATCTATCTATCTAATCTATATCACATTATCAACTATCATCCATCACACTATCACTGTATCACGATATCTATTATTCTATATCTATCATCTATTTGTCACTATCACTCTATCAACTATCATCTATCACACTATCATGCTATCTATCACTCTTATATCTATCTATCTATCTATCTATCTATCTATCTATCTATCTATCTATCTATCTATCTATCTATCTATCTATCCATCCATCCATCCATCCATCCATCCCTATCTACCTACCTACCTACCTACCTACCCACCCACCCACCCACCCACCCATATCTATCTATCTATCTATCTATCTATCTATCTATCTATCTATCTATCTATCTATCTCTCTATCTCTACCTACCTACCTACCTACCTACCTACCTACCTAAAGAAAACACTGGTCAAGGGTTTGTCAGGATGGTATAAGATTTCCTGCCTTGGGCATCAGATTAGACTAGAGGACCTCAAAGTGCCCCTGGAACCCTATCCTTATTCTTATCCTTATCCCTATTATTTTATTATATCCTATTGCTATCCATCTATCTATATCTTTCCTTCTTTCCTTCCTTCCTTCCTTCCTTCCCTCCCTTCCTCCCTCCCTTTCCACCTTTCCACTCATCCATCCACCTCCATCACCTCTCTCTCTCTCTCTCCTCCCCCCTCCCTCCCCTCTGCCCAGGGACTCCGAGCGTTGCCCTCTCGCCTGCCCGACACCCCGGGATCCCAGGAAGCCTTCCTGGACCGACCAGAGCCTGCTCACCCCTTCCACCAGGACCACCTGGGTCTGGCCCACGGCAGCCGCGTGGAGGCGGGAAGCCCCCTCCCGGAAGGCCACGTTGAGCTCCTCCAGCCGACGCTTCTTCACTTCGGGGGGGACGTCGTCCAGCAGGCGGTGAAAGGCCCGGGTTTTCTGGGGGGGCAGAGCGACCGAGGGTGGGAGGTCAGGACTCGTGGAAGCCGGAAGCGGGGCCAGGCCACGAGTGTCCAGCCAGGGGCTGACCTAGCAGCTGACCATCCCAATAATGACCAGCCCAGCATGGCCCCTGCACTGGACAGCCCTGTAGGGTAGGCCAGACTAAGAAACTGACGCCACATAGGTCTATGACCCAAACTCAGCCCAAACTTTCTCCAGCTCTGAGACCTTTCTTGTGAATTTTGACCCGCTTTATGACCGTTCCTGCCAGGGTTGTTAAGTGAAACACAGGAGATGTTGAGTTCGTTACATGATCGTTAAGTGGGGGCTTCCCCGTTGAGTTTGTTCGTCAGAAGGTCCCAAAAGGGGATCACACCATCCCGGGACGCTGCGACCGTCGTAAATACGAGTCGGCTGCCGAGCGTCTGAATTTGGATCACGTGACCACAGGGAGGCGGCAACAGGCGTGTGAAAAACGATCGCGGGTCACTTTTCGGCACTGTTATAACGTTGAACAGTCACTGTTGTAAGTTGAGGACAGCCTGTGCTTTACTGGAATAATTCGGGAACAGAATCTCGTAAACCCAAATGGACGTCTACTTGACTTGATCTTCACGTCAACTTGGGTGGGGCTTGGCTGACGTGTTTTCCCGTGTTACTTTCTTGGCCTGGGCTGATGGCCCCCCCTTATTGGATCTCCCACCTGCCCCTCAAGATCCCTCCCGTTACAACCCTGGATTTTTTGGTCTGAAGATTCTTTGGGCCAATCACCAGGAGACGGTGAGTTCTAATCCTGCCTTAGGCACGAAAAGCCAACTGGGTGACTTTGGGCCAGTCGCCAGGAGACGGAGAGTTCTAGTCCCGTCTTAGGCATGAAGGCCAGCTGGGTGACTTTGGGCCAATCACCAAGAGACGGTGAGTTCTAGTCCCGCCTTAGGCATGAAAGCCAGCTGGGAGATTTGGGCCAATCACTAGGAGACGGTGAGTTCTAGTCCCACCTTAGGCATGAAAGCCGGTTGAGTGACTTCAGGCCAATCACCAGGAGACGGTGAGTTCTAGTCCCGTCTTAGGCAGTAAAGCCTGCTGACTTTGGGCCAATCAACAGGAGACGGTGGGTTCTAGTCCCGCCTTAGGCATGAAGGCCAGCTGGGTTCTAGTCCCGCCTTAGGCATGAAGGCCATGAGTTCTAGTTCCATCTTAGGCACGAAAAGCCAACTGGGTGACTTTGGGCCAATCGCCAGGAGACGGTGAGTTCTAGTCCCGTCTTAGGCAGTAAAGCCAGCTGACTTCGGGCCAATCACCAGGAGACGGTGAGTTCTAGTCCCGCCTTAGGCATGAAAACCAGTTGGGAGATTTGGGCCAATCACTAGGAGATGGTAAGTTCTAGTCCTGCTGTAGGCATGGAAGCCATCTGGGTGACTTTGGGCCAATCACCAAAAGATTGGGAGTTGTAGTCCCGCTTCAGGCATGAAAGCCAGCTGGGCCTATCCCTCTCTCTCAGCCCAACCCACCTCGCAGGGTCGTTGTTCTGGGGAAAACAGGAGGAAGGAGTGCGGGATATATTCCCCGCCTTGGAATATTTGTCAAAAATCATAAAGGCTGGATGCAAATAAATAACCATTCAGCCAACAGCTGCAACATGGGGCACATCTGCCACAGATGTGAATCAGCCACACACACACACACACACACACACCCCGGAAGTGCCACGCAGTCACACCCGGGCCTCACCTGCCGCTGGCTGTAGGCAAAGATATAGGCGAAGTTGTAGCCGACCTCATGAAGGAGCGACAGCGTCTCCAAGTGATCGGCCTCCGTCTCCCCGCAAAAGCCGGTGATGAAGTCACTGGTGAGCGCTGCGCCTGCCACAGGAAGGTCATTTACAGAGAGTCCTCGTTTAGCGACCGTTGGAAGTTACGACGGGTCCCCCAAAGGTCCTTATGACCCAATTTCCAAACCACTCAGCCGCATCTCACATCCCCAAACGATCACGTATTTTGGGAACTTCGCAACCGGCTCACATTAATGGCTGTTTGCAGCATCCCAAGGTCAGCTGGTTGTGCTTTTCAATAATTTTGTGGGGTTTTTTTTGTCAGTTTCTGCCATTTCTGGGGGAAAAAACCNGGACTTCAACTCCCAGAATTCCTCAGCCAGCATGGGGGAACTATGGCCGCCTCATGACTCGTGGACTTCAACTCCCAGAATTCCTCAGCCAGTATGAGGAACTATGGCCCCCTCATGACTGGTGCACTTCAACTCCCAGAATTCCTGAGCCAGCATGGGGGAACTACAGCCCCCTCATGACTCGTGGACTTCAACTCCCAGAATTCCTGAGCCAGCATGGGGGAACTACGGCCCCCTCATGACTGGTGGACTTCAACTCCCAGAATTCCTGAGCCAGCATGGCTCAGCTTGGAAACCTCTCCCTTTCCCCTCAGCGTGGCTGGCTCAGGAATTCTGGGAGTTGAAGTCCGCCAGTCGTAAAAGAGCCCAGGTTGCCTAGCCCTGGCTTAGCCGAATGAGCTGCTGAACGGGGATGCCACCTGGCTAGACCTTTTTCAAGGTGCGTAACAATCGCTGTAGACACTCACAGACCCACAAGCACACATCTTACCCCCTCTTCATGGCCTCCAGGACACGGGAGCTGCCGCTTTGGGCGGGAAGGTGCACCTGTTTGCAGATATTGTGCCTTTCCCGCATGACCTCGAAGACCTGCGAAACGCAAAGAGGTTGTTACTGGCACGCTGCTGCCGGCTTTAGGACGGGAAGAGCTCGGCGGGGGGTGGGGGGGGAGACCCACCTCATCCGGGAAGTCTTTGGGGTGCGGAGAAGTGAAGCGGACCCTCATCTCTGGGTCCACGGCGGCCACTCGCTCCAGCAGCTCTGCAAAACGCAAGCCGCCCTTTTTGGCTTTGTAGACGGTCCGGAATCCTGCTCTGAGCTCAGGGGATGCCAGGGAGAGGAACTGGGCCTCGGAGGTGTCCCGGTAACTGTTGACATTCTGGCCCAAAAGTGTCACTTCCTTCACACCCTACAAGGAGAGGAGGAGGAGGAGGAGGAGCAGGAGGAGGGGAGAGTAGGAGGAGGAGAGGAGAAGGACAGGAGGAGAGGAAAGCAGGAGGGGAGAGGAGGAGGAGAGGAGGAGGAGGACAGGAGGAGAGGAAAGCAGAAGGAGGGAAGAGGAGGAGGACAGGAGGAGGACAGGAGGAGAGGAAAGCAGAAGGAGGGGAGAGGAGGAGGACAGGAGAGGACAGGAGGAGGAGGAGGAGGAGGAGAAGAGGAGAGGGGGAGGAGAGGAGGAGAAGGAGGAGGAGAACAGGAGAGGAAAGCAGAAGGAGGGGAGAGGAGGAGGAGGAGAGAGGAGGAGGAGGAGGAGAGGAAAGCAGGAGGAGGAGGTGGAGGAAGGGAAGAGGAGGAGGAGGAAAGGAGAAGAGGAGAGGACAGGAGGAGAGGAGAAGAGAGGAAAGCAGGAGGAGGAGGAGAGGAAAGGAAAGGAGAGAGGAGGAGGAAGAGGAGGGGGAGAGGAGGAGGAGGAGGGGAGGAGAGAGGAGCGGAGGAGGAGGTGTATGTTAAAAATCAATAAAACATATTTTATAAAAAAAAAACCTCTTTAAAAGTTCCGAGGTTGGACACCCCTGGTCCAGGCTCTCCTGCTCGAGCATGGGGTTGGACTAGAAGACCTCCGAGGTCCCTCCCAACTCTTCTGTGATTCTATTCTGGGTTCCCCGCTTCCCCCAAAGGGGCTGGGAAGAGCAGAGGGGTCAATCTCCGCCTCCAGCAGAGTTCTTAGTTGACTCTCCGGGCTCGGTCAAAGGCTCCAAGTCGAAGGCCACCCACCTGGTCCGACAGCATCTGCACTTCCTGGAGAATGGACGCCAAGGGCCGGCTGCGTTCGCGCCCCCGCGTGAAGGGGACGATGCAGTAGCTGCACATGTTGTCACAGCCGCGCATGATGGACCTGGGAGGGGGAAAGCCATTCCCAGAGGAGGTTATGGAGGCAACTGGTGGGAGACTGGGAGTCAGACTGGGATCTGGCTTCCCTTCCCAAGGAAACTACTTGGGAAGTCACCTTCTACCCATCCTCTTCACTCATGAACAACAGACGGACATCCTGGCCCTCCGTCTTAACGCCCTACGCTTGTCAAAATTGGGGTCTGCTAACACAACACTGTGCACGTGGGATACTTTGGAAGGGGTTAAGAAGATGCAGAACTGTCCCAAAGGTGCTTCCCCCCACCCCCCAAAAAGGACATCTGGACTTTCTTGGTTTTTTTCCCCTTGAAGACGTTTCACTTCTCATCCAAGAAGCTTCTTCAGTTCTAACTGAATGGTGGAGGATAGGAGGACTTATACTCCTTGTAGAGAGCTGGGCGTTGGCATCCTCTCTCTAAGAGCCATTGAGGCCACTTGGGAGGTTTATCTGTGGCCTCCTGAGCAGTGCAATAGTCCACACCCATGGGGGCAATCGTCCATATCCATTTGTGCAACAGTGTGCAATAGCCCGCACCCATTTGCACCGTTCAGGAGACCTCAGGGGCACAGACGAACCCCCAAGTGGCCTCAATGACTCTCAGCAAGAGTACTAATGACCAGATGACTGCTAAGGAATATAAATCTTTCCATCCCCCACCCTTCAGTCAGAACTGAAGAAGCTTCTTGGATGTGAAGCGAAACGTCTTCAAGGGAAAAAATCAAGAAAGTCCAGTTGTCTTTTGGGTGGGGGGGAGATCACCTTTGTGACAACCGTGATCTGGATGACTGAGCGTCTCCAGGGACAAGATGCAGAACTGCAGAATTTTTTTTAAAAGGAGATCAGCACCAGAAATCACCAGGAGCACAGATGTAGCTATTGAGGCATTTTTTACTCCAGTAATAATAGCTCATTTCTCTTCCATTCTCTCTCTCTCTCTCTCTCTCTCTCTCTCTCTCTCTCTCTCTCATCTCTTACTATCAACATCAATCTAACTATCTAGATCTATCATTATCTAGCTGGCCAACTATCTGGTTGTCATCTAGCTAGCTAGCATCTCAATCTATTCTATTCTATTCTATTCTATTCTATTCTATTCTATTCCTATTCCATATTCTATTCTATTCTATTCTATTCTATTCTATTCTATTCTATTCTATTCCATTCCATTCCATTCCATTCCATTCGTTATTCTATTCTGTTCTGTTCTATTCTATATCCTATTCTGTTCTATTCCATTCCATTCTATTGTTATTCTATTCTATTCTAAATCTTATTCTGTTCTATTCTATTCTGTTCCATTCCATTCTATTGTTATTTTCTCTTCTCTTCTATTCTATATCTTATTCTGTTCTATTCTATTCTATATCTTATTCTGTTCTATTCTATTCTATTCCATTCCATTCTATTTTTCTCTTCTCTTCTATTCTCTTCTATTCTATCTTATTCTGTTCTATTCTATTCTATTCTAAATCTTATTCTGTTCTATTCCATTCCATTCTATTCTTATTCTATTCTATTCTAAATCTTATTCTGTTCTATTCTATTCTATTCCTTTTTCTATTCTATTCTAAATCCTATTCTATTCTATTCTATTCCTATTCTATTCTCAATCTTATTCCGTTCTGTTCTGTTCTGTTCTATTCTATTCTATTCCTATTTCTATTCTAATCCCTAATCCATCTATGTCTGTCTATCATAGCTAGCTATCTAGTTATAATCTATCTAATTAGCCCCTCTCTAGCTGTCTGTCTTTCTGTCTGCCTCTCCAAGGGAGATGCGCAGTTTAGAAATATGAATTATGTATCAATCAATCAATCAATCAATCAATCTGCCCAGAGCCCCTCCCCAAGGGAGATGGGTGGTTAAGAAACACAAACTCTCTCTCTATAAATGAATCAATCCATCTTGGGCCTTTTCCACCTTCCAGGCTCCCAGCTCGGATCAAAGCAGCAAACAAACCGGGTTTCCCCTTACACGAAGGCCGTGGTTGCGCCAGGACCGAGGTGGACGGGCAAAATGTCCGCGTAGGTCTCGTCCAGAGAGAGCAGGACGTTGGCCGCCTGCTGGCCGGATTCAGCCACCGCCAAGAGCCGGGGCAGGTCCCGGTAAGCGTCCGGTCCGGCCACGATATCGACCAGCTTCTCCTCGTCCAAAATTTTCTCCTTCAGCCTCTCGGCCATGCAGCCTGCGAGAAGAGGCAGAAGCGTGAGCCGAAGAGGAGAAAATAAAACGCAGGGAATCTCGATCGGGAGATTCCGCCTTGCTTCGAACCAGATCGACAGATTCAAAATCAGGAGCTGCAGAAGCTGGCCTAGCAAGGGGGGGGGAATCACTTTTTAATGCTCCCATGGATGAAAATTAACAACCAAGAAAGCACCCACAGCTGGAAGATTTCCTATTTACAGGGGGGGAGTGGGGGGCCATTCAAAACATTGCGGCGTTCTTTCCAATAAGTATTGACTTGTTTTATTTTTTATTATTATCAGCTAGACTTTTATCCCTCCGTTTCTTACGCCTTTGCATGTGTGCAGGCTTAGCTAGGAAACGTAGCTGGATTATTCAGATTTTTATCCCAGGTTTATTATAAAAGACTCAAGGGGGCGAACGGACCGAATCCTCCGTTTCCCCCGTATTTTGCCCACAACAACCCAGTGAGGTGGTTTGGGCTGAAGGAGTGACTGGCCCAAAGTACCCCAGCAGCTTTTGTCCCTAAGGCGGGACTAGAATTCCCAGTCTCCTGGTGATGGGCGCCAGTTACCCAATTGGCTTTCACACCTAAGGCGGGACTAGAACTCCCAGTCTCCTGATGATGGGCTCATGTCTACCCAGTCGGCTTTCGTGCCTAAGGAGGGACTAGAACTCCCAGTCTCCTGATGATGGTCCAAGTTACCCAATCTGCTTTGATGTCTAAGTGGGACTAGAACTCCCAGTCTCCTGATGATGGGCCCAAGTCACTCAATTGGCTTTCATGCCTAAGGTGGGACTAGAACTCCCAGTCTCCTGATGATGGACCCACATCACCCAATCAGCTTTCGTCCCTAAAGCAGAACTAGAACTCCCAGTCTCCTGATGATGAACCCAAGTCACCCAATTGGCTTTGATGTCTAAGGTGGGACTAGAACTCCCAGTCTCCTGATGATGGGTTCAAGTCACCCAATCGGATTTCGTCCCTAAGGCAGAACTAGAACTCCCAGTCTCCTGGTGATGGGCCCACATCTACCCAATCGGCTTTCGTGCCTAAAGTGGGACTAGAACTCCCAGTCTCCTGATGATGAGCCCAAGTCACCCAATTGGCTTTGATGCCTAAGGTGGGACTAGAACTCCCAGTCTCCGGATGATGGGCCCAGGTCACACAATCTGCTTTGATGCCTAAGGCGAGACTAGAACTCCCAGTCTCCTGGTGATTGGCTCCAAGTCACCCAATCGGCTTTCAAGCCTAAAGTAGGACTAGAACTAATCGTCTCTTGGTGATTGGCCCAAAGTCATCCATTTGGTGTTCAGGTCTAAGGCGGGACTAGAACTCCCAGTCTCCTGATAATGGACCCAAGTCACCCAATCGGCTTTCGTGCCTAAGGCGGGACTAGAACTCACCGTCTCCTGGTGATTGGCCAAAGTCTCCCAGCCGGATTTCATGCCTAAGGCTGGACTAGAACTCACCGTCTCCCAGTTCCTAGCCTGGTGCTTCCACCACTAAACTGGGACATTGGGGTGACTAAACTCTGGGAAGGTCCGGCTTTTGAAAAACCTGGCCTAGCCGTTCATCCCAGCCCCAGGTTCTTCAGATACGGCCAGTCCAGCTCCAGGTGGTCTCCCTTCCTTCAAGACCCCTTTGCTCTGAGTTGCTTACATTACCTAAGATCCCAATCCGCAGGGACCCCCGGGAGCGTTGCCGTTTGGTCTTGAGGGTTTTGAACACCGCCAGGCGATTCCAGACCGTCTGCTCGGCTTTCTCCCTGTGAAACAATCAACCATGGATGAACCTTTTGACCAGGTCTGAGGAGTCCCTAGAAACTCTGCTCAACTTGGGAGAGGGGTCCTGAGTTCTTCCCTGCCCCTTCCGGGAATCCAGAACAGAATAACAGAGTTGGAAGGGACCTTGGAGGTCTTCTAGTCCAACCCCATGTTCAAGCAGGACACTATATGCCAGGTGTGTCCAACCTTGGAATTTTAAGACTTGTGGACTTCAGCTCCCAGAATTCACCACGATGTAAAAAAGATGTTGAGATGTCTAGAAAGAGTGCAGAGAAGAGCAACAAAGATGATTAGGGGACTGGAGGCTAAAACATATAAGGAACGACTGCTGGAATTGGGTCTGTCTAGTTTAATGAAGAGAAGGACGAGGGGGGACATGATAGCAGTCTTCCAGTATCTCAGGGGCTGCCCCAAAGAAGAGGGAGTCAAGCTATTCTCCAAAGCCCCTGAAGGCAGGACAAGAAGCAACGTATGGAAACTAACCAAAGAGAGAAGTAATCTAGAATATAAGGAGAAACTTCCTGACAGTGAGGACAATTAACCAGTGGAACCACCTGCCTCCAGAAGCTGTGAATGCTCCAACACTGGAAGTTTTTAAGAAGAGACTGGACAGCCATTTGTCTGAAATGGTATAGGGTTTCCTGCCTGAGCAGGGGGTTGGACTAGATGACCTCCAAGGTCTCTTCCAACATCATCATCATCATCATCATCATCATCATCATCATCATCATCATCATTATTATTATTATAAGTCTAAAGTTCCCAAGTTTGAACACTCTCATACCATTCCAGACCAATGGCTGTCCAATCTCTTCTTGAAGATCTCCAGTGATGGAGCACCAACTTCTGGAGCCAAGCTGTTCCATTGATTAATTGTTTCTAACTGTCAGGAGATTTCTCCTTAACTCCCTTCCAACTTTATCATTATTATCATTATTATTATTAGTCTCCTTGATTAGTTTCCATCTGTTGCTTTTTGTTCTGCCTCCGGGTCCTTTGGAGAATAGCTTGGCCCCCTCTTCTTTGTGGCAGCCCCTCAAATACTGGAAGGCTGCTATCGTGTCCCCCCCCAAGCTATATCCAGATATAGCTAGATTGCACGTCTCACCATCTTTGGCCAATCCGTGCTGATGGGAAGAACAGTTCAATAATATCTGGAAGTGCCCACTAACATGGGTTTGGATCTTCTTTTATAAGCCTACTGTCAAGAATGAAACTTTGGCAGCTGCGTGCCTCTTCGTTTCAACCTAGAATTAAGGAGAAGCTTCCTGACAGTGAGGTCAATTAAGCAG